ATGGATTTATAAAAGGTTTATCACATGCCAGAAAACATATAAAACAAAGCTGGAAAGCATATGGAGGGTGGGTGTAGTTTGGAAATGGCCAGGACATGGCATGATGACCTGGTTTTTAGCATGATAAGGCAAAAGCTTATTTATCACAACCCAAGAGATTTCATTGCCACCTGGATGACCACATGCTGGTGACACTTTCTAGTGGATTCTAATTCAAGTATTGGCTGCATTAGGTGACCTCTGAGATCCTTTTCCACTCTGAAATTCTCTGAGATGCTATCAAACTCACCTTCAGCTCCAGTGTGGGCTGCCCTCCACTCTCTTCACAGCACAGACACAGTTTAGGGTCTACTATGCCCAGGTAAATAGGACTGCCTTTGCCATTTTCAAGAGACATATCTCGGCATGGTGTGCTCGTGAGTATGGCTGGGAATACAAGAATCAGTGACCACACAGAGTGAAAAAAGTATAAGGAAAAAAAATCCATTCCTGACAAAGAGGAAGATGATGGAGGAGGCCACCATCTATCTAAAGAAAAAGCAGGGGAATGCCACAGTTGGACTTCAGCTTTAGGGATATTGAATTGAAAGTGTCTAGGGAAGGGAACGGAAGGAATGTGAAGTGACTATGTCTATGGGAATCTTCCATTCATTCCTAGATGGAGAGGTTATCTGCTCAATGGTCTAGTCCTCATAGTGATTCAATTTTTCCTTTGCACTTTGGAAGCCCTGATAGGAATTCTAGCTCCTAAATTTGAGCACAGTCCTGCAAGGAAGCATGCCAGGGGGAGGGACTTCTGACCTCACAAAAGAGCAATCTCCCACACTGTTGCTTCAGCCATGCCTGCAATTTACCTCCTCTGATTTCCCTTCAGGTAGCACCCTAACTAGGCAGGCTTGGTAGTTCTCTGAAAGATACTCCTGTTATGCTGTGTATGGTATACATGAAGGAGATAGGATTCCTGATTAGCTGAAAAAAATCTCACAGAGAAGTAGAGAAATGGAGAAACACAGAGGTGAAATGGTAGAGAAGGGATTGATTTTTGGCAAACAGGAGATGCCCAGGACGAGCTAGCCCCCCAATATGTGTGTTCATTGATTCCCAGAACCTGTACTCCCAAAGGCTACAAAGAGCAGACCTCTGGGGTGAGATTGTTCCTTCCTTGGTGGAGATGAGATTTCCCCTCCATTCCAAATCCCACAGACCACTAACCCATATCTATTCTTTCACCCAAACTAACTGGTATAACTTCCCCAATTACTGTTTGCTTTGATAGTTATTTTTGTTCATTATACATGATCATCTTTGATGCAATTAACATTTTGTGGAATGGGATATAAGGTGGTTGAGATTACATTAACTGGTACCCTCTTGTTCTAGGGGACGACTACTTACTCCCAGAGTGACTAGCAAAAGTAGCTTTTATCCTAAACACCAAGAAAGCATTGTACTTCTAGAGGGCAAATATCTGATTTCAATAGATAAATATAAATTGTGGCCCCATACTCCTCAGGAAGATTGGAGAGTGAAGGAGTAATCACCCAATCACACCCATCCCCACCTTGTCACAAAGACAATAGTGGCAATATTCCTAGGAGATGTGGAGTGTGGCATTCCATATCCCAGATCCATCCACTCAACATGCTCCCTGGAACATTAGGGTCCAGTTCAACTTGCTACCATAAAGTTATAGACTTGGACCTAAAAAGACTTTATGGGTCATCAAATTTGACCCCCTCATTTTACAAATGAGGAAAATGAGGCTCACAGAACCTCACTTATATCTGATGACTGTCCATGAAGACGACACGATTAAGTGGCTAAGGAAAGAATCTAACACAGTTCTCCCTAATGCCAAGTTCATTGCTCTATCCACTGTGCCACCCTAGTTGGCCTGTAAAGAAATGCCATATGGAGGAGGGCCCCAACCTCTTTCCTGGATGTCAGCAACCTAGGTCAAATCCATTTGCTCCATCCCTGTGCTCCACTCTGTTCCTCTCCTCCCATTACCCCTCCTCCCAGTCCCATTCTTCTCATAATTCCCTGGCATTAGCACCCTCCCAGCTTGGATTGCAAAAGATCAATCAACTTGAGTTTCTCCTCCCTCATCCATCCTCCCTAAGCATTGTTCTAGTGCACTTTTGTCTCTGACTTCATGGAACAGCACAGTTTTACTCTAACAAAAGCCAGCCTGCCTCTTCCCTTACCATCTGTCAGTGACTGGTATAGGACTTTACCCTTTTCCCACCATTTCTACCTAATAACTGCCCAAGTCATTCCTCAAATTATTGGAACTACAGGTATCTGTCCTGGGAGACGCTATAAAGAGAGGGTCATCCAAAGCATGAGACTATCAAAGAAAGAGAAAATAAGGTCAGGTTTCCTACTCACTTGGGTGCACCACTCCATCATCAGGAACTGCTATGAGGGTCTTGTCTTGAAGGACCAAGACTTGCTGATGGATGTCACGAATTTTCTTGAGGTTAGGTTTATCTATTGCTTTCAAATGAAAAATGTTACAATGTAAATGTCATTGGCTGATGAAGATTAAAGCTGATTTAATGGGTTGGTTTCCAGTAGATTGCTTATTCTCATCAAGCACATGGAGAAGGATGGACTGATGTTGATGGAATATAGCCCTCCACAGAGTCCACACACCACCACTTTCTCTCTATACATAAATCCCTACTCTGATGACAAACGAGCTGTGATCCTGAAGGAGGAAACTGCAGAATTTCAGAAGTGGAAGGGGACCCTGAGTCGATCTAACCAACCCACGCCCAAATGCTAAGGACATCTAGCAAACATCCATTTTTTTAAGAGAACCTTTAATGCAGAGGACCCCACCACATCAGGAGACAGCCCAGTTCTGCTTTGGGACAGCTCTAATTTTTGGAAGGTTTTTTCTGACACTGAGTCTAAATTTACCTCTTTGTAAACTATGCCTTTTACTCTTCTTGTTGTCTTCATGGGTCTAATCTTTCTCCCCAGGGATGGCTTTATATACTTAAAGACAGTGATCATCTCCCCACTGAGTCTTCTTTTCTCCAAGCTGAACCTCCCCAGTCTCTGTAAACCGTCCTCATGTGGCATGGACTTGAGGCCTGTCCCTCATCAAGCTACCCCCATCTGGCTGCCTCCAGCTTCTCAACATCCTCCCTCATGCCTTAAAAGGAACACAACCTTCCAGGTGGGAGAACAGAGTCATAATTGCCTCCTTATTCCTGGAAGCTGTGATTGATTCTCTCAAAGCATCCTTATATCCCATCAGGAGTATGTATGTGTGTGGGTGTGAGTATGGGTGTGAATGGGTGTTTGCCTGTCATAATCTCAGTGCTGTCGATATCAAGACACTGAATTGGGCCTCCCTTCTCTGAGTACTCTCCAATTTATTGATGTCCTTACTGAATGAAAACCCCAGGTCTTTTTTAGGCAAACTTGATTTATCCATATCATCTAGTGCTGGTTATGACCATTTTTTAAACCTAAATGTAGGACTTGACATTTATCCCTGTTATATTGATTATTATTAGCATGAAACCAATGTTCTATCCTGCCAGTATCTATTTGAAACCTGATTTTATGCTTCTGTGTATTGACTACCTCCCCTGGCTCTGTTACCACCTGCAAGCTTGAGAAGCATCCCATCTGTCATTGATAAAATTGTTTAACAGCCCAGGGTCAAGAACAGATCCGTGGAGTACTCCACTAGAGAACTCCTTCCAAGTCCACTTCAAAAAAATTTGGATTTGTTGTTGCTCAAGTCATGTCTGACGACCCCATTTGGGGTTTTCTTGGCAAAGATACTGGAGTGGTTTGCCATTTCCTTCTCCAGCTAATTTTACAAATGGGGAAACTGAAGCAAATAAGGTTAAGTAACTTGCTTAGGGTCATACATCTAGTAAATGTCTGACATTGAATTTGAACTCAGGTCTTCCTGACTCCAGGACTGAGCTATCCACCTAACCATTAATAAATCCTCTTTTCAGTCCAGCCATCCAAACAATTCTCAATCCATCTGGATTCTAATTGTCCTGTAATAAAGGCAGAATCTATCTCTCCCCACAAGAATAGCATGAGAGCTTTTATTGGCTTTACCAAATTCAGCTGAATTCTAACTGTGGCATCTCCCCGATCTTCCAGTCCAGTTACTCCACTAAACAAGGAAACAAATTTAGAATCACATGACTCGTTTTCGTTAAAGCCGTGCTAACAATCTGTGATCACCTCTTCTTTCTCTAGTTGTTCATCCAGCATCGCTTGAATGGTTCTCTCTACAATTTTGTAGAAATCCAAGACACTGGCCTATAGTTGGCAGAAAAGATCCTATTCTCCACCCTTTTGAAGGAAATCAGGATGCTTGCCTTTCCCTGGGCCCTCTGCATCATGGCCATTCTCCAGGATCTTTCAGATTTCACTGCCAGTGCCTTCCCCACATCTGCCAAGAGGTAGCTTACTTGGACCAAGTAACTTAAATTCAAGAGTAGCTCTCTTAATATCTTTTTGCTTACCTTGGCTACCCACTCCTAATTAACCATTAATGTAGAAATGTACAATTGAACCTAGAATGTCTCCATTCCTGGAGGGCTTGGTGTCAGCAGGGAACTGCATGAGCCTAGGACAGGCTTTCCCCTACCCCACCCTGGGATCCCAGACAAGCATGCTTGGGGGAGGGAAGGTGGCATAGCCATATCTCACCTTTTGGTTCAAGTGGTTTTCCTTCACCTGAAAAATAGCGAAAGCAGAAACACAAAATTCTAGGCACTGTGTTATTTCCAGGTTAAACAGGACATGATATCCTTCAATCAATCAATCAATAAGCAGTTCTGCTATACGATAGATCCCATGCCTGCCCGTAAATTCTAACAGAGGAGACAACATGCACACATATAGACAGTTCTCTTTATGTGAGTGGATTGGTTGGCAGTCATGTGAATTTGCCTCGGACTTGGGGAAAGGGAGGGATGGAGGCAGAAAAGTGGCTGCAAATGGGGCTCCCTCCCATGGAAGGAATTGGCCAGCACCCAGTTCAAGGACTGGGACAGAGAAGCAAGAACAAGAGCCAGAACATTCAGGGAGCAGGGCCAGAACCTAGAGGAAGAACAGGGAGTGAGAGACATGTGAGGGTCAGATGGACACAGACAGGAGAGGACAGACATGCTCTTCTGGAGGGAAGTCAAACAGGAGGCAGATGGGCAAGACAGGCCAAGGTCTTCTCTCTCAGCACAGGAGGTCTCAAGCCAAGCCCTCCATCCCAACACAGCACTGGAGGAGGGAGTGGGGGGGGGGGGTCTCTCCTACCTCCGACCTTCTGCTTTCTCTAGGAGGGTTTTATTTTTAGGGGGCTTTTTGTTTTTGGTGGGGGAGGGAGGGAGAGAGGCCACAGAGCACCCACAGCAACAGGCAGAAGGGGGGAGAGGGAGCAGAGTCCTGCACGGTAAAGGTAATAAAGGGACTTTTTATGAAATGTGGATTTCTTTCAGAATTCTTTAAGAAAAGTCAAATTTGAGTAAATTTATGTAAAGTGATAACTCTCTGTATAGGAAGATACAGAATATATACAAACTTAGTTTAAGGTAGTTTGGGGAGGGAGAGATACCAGCAGCCAGGGGCAATAAGAAAGCCTCTGCCACAGGCACAGGTGAAAATAAAATGCAATGGGACACGCAAGGGTCTTCCATACACTGGTTAGAATTTAGGGGGCTCTCATGTGCTCCCATATGCGTGACTTCTGGATTCTCTAAAATTGGTCTGGGCAAACTTCTCACCCCACAGTGACCTTTAGCCTTCTCCTCTCCAGGATGTACACAGATCATGGATGCAAAGCTGGAAAAAATCTTAGTGATCATCAGGTCCAACCCATCTGGCAAAATCCAGCCTCAGATACTGACCAGCTGAGTGACCTTGGGCAAGTCATTTAACCTTGATTTGTCTTAGTTTCCTCAATTATAAAATAGGGATAATAATAACATCTACCTCCCAGAGTTGTTGTGAGGATCAAATAAGAAATTATTTGTAAAGCACTTAGCACAGGGCCTGACATATAGTAGGTGCTATATAAATGCTGGATGTCGTATAACACTATTATATGAGGAAACTGAGGCCCAGGGATATTAAATGATTTCTCCAAGAGCACATGGGCAATAAGCATCACAGGGAGAATCTGAACCCAGAATCACTAACTTCAGAACCAGTGAGAGCCCTTGGCATTGCCCCACAGCTAACTAGACTGAGAGCCAATGTTGTCCGCCACATTGTTGCTTACCTTGAGTATGTACACTGGGGTCAGTTTCACTCATGGTATGATTCTCTCTGCTCCTGTAAGGATAGATTAAAGGTACGTGATTTGAAGGACTTTCTTCAGGGTTACACCCAGGTATAGCCCCATACTGAACTTTATCTCATCACCTCTGTCCAGAGAGGTATGGGTGATGAAGGAAGGAAACAAGCATTTATTAGGAACCTTAATAAACAGAGCTTAATAAATGCTTATTTCCAGTCCTCTCTTCCCTATACACTATGGGCCAGGCTAAGCACTTCACAAATGTTTCTGTGCCAAGTCTTTTATAAATATTATCTCATTTTTTCCTTACAACAACCCTTGGAAGTAAGTGCTGTTATCATTCCCACTTTACAATTAAGGAAACTAGATTGAGGCAGATAATGATTTAAGTGACTTCCTCAAAGTCAAATAGCTAACAGTGTTTGAGGTCAGATTTGAACTTGGGTCTTCCTGCTTCCAGGCACAGCACTCTAGCATGCCACTTAGCTCTGCTAGGGTGAGGAAACCCCCTGGGTCATGGTTTGGCAGGCCATGGCTACTGGACTAAAGAGATTCACAGATGGCTCATCTTCCCTGGCACCCCAGGGCACTCCACTCAGCTTTCTCAGCAGGGATCTCCCCATGACCACAGGTATTACCTCCAATGTCCCTCAGAGCAACAGGTGGGACAGCAGACCAGCCCTCAAGAACATGCTCCCATTCAAAGATCCCACCAATGTTGCAACTTTCCCACCACAGGCAAGCAAGTCCCTAAGAGTTTCCACACTGAACCTGACTCATCAGCCATCAGTACCCACTCCTAGTGAGCAGAGAAGGGATATGCTACCTTCGTGGCCCATAGTGGACCCTATTAAGGAAGACAGAAACATTCTGATAATAGAAATACTTAGGCTCACACCCACACCCATCCCTGGAATCCAAGGGATAGCAATGAGAGGAAGATCCAGAGATAGATGATTTTCAGCTACAAGAAGAATCAAAGGTTACCTGGTCCAACCACTCTCTTCAATTTTCTTGAGTTCTTGGGCTGTGGTGGTTTCTTTAAGCTCCAATGAGATTTTCTGGGGCTGCTTGCCTTTTATCCAATTGAAGAATTGGGTGGTTCTGTAGCTTGGGTGGGGACAGCTCCTACCTTAGAACTTAAGGAAAAGTATCTGAGGCTGTTCCTAAGGATGCCAGGGAATATATAAGAGGTGGTTGGGTGGGGAGGCTGAGGACAGCAGCAGTGGGAGGAGCTGGGCTGGGCCCTGAAAGTTCCACCCTA